GGATGAAGAAAAGGAGTAAGAACACAAGCAATATGAACCAGTTAAATTCAAACTATCAACCCCCAGTAAGTTCAAAGTCATTGCTAATGCATACCACCATACCTTCTTCCATTCCTCTTGCCATTGCTTGGTGACCTTGTAACAATTTTACTTCATTTAATACAAGAATTTTCAATGAAATTTAATAAAGTCCTTATGAGGAGAGAAATGTGGTAACCCAAAAAATTAGTTTAAAGGTATTAAAATTATTAACTGGGTTTTAATTTTGCTGATAAGTGTAATCCACTAAGTACATATAAAAATGTTAAATTCCAATAGAACTTGTTGTCTCATTCATTAATCCATGAATTTAAAACCAAGTGAATACAATGAAATATCAAATTGATGAAATTAAATGCTTTCGGAGTACTTTGTATTTTTATTAATTAAATTAATAAGTATGAAAAATCTTAACAAATCTTGATAAATCAGCAGATGGTAAGTAATTCTATCCACAATTCCTGGACAGAAGAGAGATGCTATACACTGCTTTACACTAATTTGAATTAAATGACTTGCCTTTTTACTTCTGCTTAATCGTAATCTTGTTACTTTCCCAAATTGAGAAAAGAATTTATTCATCTGTGCCTCGTAGAAACCATGGGGAATATGTTTGACATAAACAACACCACGTTCCAACTCTTGATGTATCCTCCACCTGTAATAACAAAATTTCACTAAAACAGTCAATGTAAAAATGAAGCATGAAATTTTAAAAGACAACAATGAAGACGACATATAGACAGCATTGCAAACTTCTCAAACATAAAGTGCCCCACCAAGAAAACGAGCCAACAGCCAGTCCAAACTACCAACTAGTTTTTTTTTTTTTATTATTTTTTTATTATTATTATTATTTTTTTTTTTTTTTGATATTCATTTTTTTGGGGATTACCCACATTTGCATTTGTTTCTGTTATTTACTGCAGCAAACAAGTTATCCCACTTTCAGCTTTCTGGAGACAAATATCCCAGAGGTTTAAGTTCTTGTATTCTTTGGGTGATGTTCTGAACCGGGAAGATACCGAACCATTTGGCAAAACTGGTCAGAGGTTGGATGCTTTACCGAAAATTCCTTTGTCTATATCAACTCAGTGAAAGGGAAAAATCATTCTTTATTGTTGTTTAAAATTTACTGTGCGTGATGCATTTGGTACGTAATTTCAGTTTATTTCTAAACGCCCTGCTGCGGGTAAAACACATCGCCTGTACACTTGCATATCATGTTGAGTGACAGACTACCGTATAGGCGAAGGATTTAATTTGCATACTCATCCAGCTTTATTATATCCTATGTAATCTATTGCTACATTTACATGGCAGCATTCTATGGAAGTCGAACTATTGCTCCTCCCACTGATTAACAGGAAATTATCTCCAATGTGTGCCTGTGCAATGCCCACCCACATGTTTCCCATTTTAGATCTGTGCCCCACTGAAATGGGCAGTTATTGATTTTTTCGCTGAAAATGATTATGCGTATCCAAGTAAATATGAGATATTTCCCGTGCTGTAGCCATGCCCACCTATCCTGAAACGGTCCACTTTTTCCGGATTTCCAACTCTCGCCGAAAGTGTGCCACCAAATGCTAAAATATGAGAGAAAGCCATACATGTACCCCTGGGCCGTACTTTTATATCACTGTGTCATTCAACATACTTTTAAACAATATACATTTTTTGATCGGCGCTTCTTTTTTTTTTGTTTATTTTATTTTATTTTTGAGAAAGAGAGTTTTTAGAAGTTGTTTTTACAACAAACATTTATGATGGTTAAACGTTGTGTTGTGGGTGCAAAAAGGTGGACGAAAGCCGTGAAAATAACGGGAAAAGGTTGGGATGGACTTCCTCCTTACAGCGTCATATGTAGTGTCCACTTCACCTTAGATTCTTTTTTTTCAAAAAACTGTCCTTGTTCATGACAAAACAACTAGGTTTTAACGAGAAACGCCAACAACTTAAACCTGGTGCAATACAAAATGTTTTTAAAAAAATAGGCCAATGGCCTGTTGCTTAACGGCTATTGTACAAAAAATTAGTGCTGTATATGCCACAACTTTTCGTTTAAATTTGTACTTTTAAATGAAATATCGCCAAACAACCACACAAAGTTGTCAATGGAATAATAAACACATGTATGCCCAACACCAAAGCATTGGTGGTTAGTTGAAATTCCATTTTTAACCAAAAATGACAACAAGCCATGCATGGCACAGTCCTCGTTAGTTATCAAATTTAAGATATATAGTTTTGTTTATAGTAATATAGCTGGAATATAACCATGTCAGGAATAAGATTTTTTAACATTAAAATGATTGACATTTGTATCTGGTCGTCAAACAAGTACTTGTCCATATTGAGAGATATTGCTCTGGAACAGCATTCAAAATCAGCCATTTTGAATACATGTATATATATATATCAGGGTTCTCCATGGTTTGAAAATTAAACAGGGCGCGCCAATGTGAAGTGGGTGTGGCACATTTGTAACGTGCATCATTGGCAAGGATGTTGAAAAATGGAAACCAAAAAATCTATTAATCTACATATTATTACATATGCATAATATATATTTATTATTACAAAATGAATAGGAATTTTGAAGAGCTATTATTAAGTAAACGTCAGCATGTACAATCAGCTGATTTTAGCTGCACGATTCCTCAAGCGGCGACATCAGTTTACAAGTAATGATCGCGTCCAGAAAAAGACGTAACAAGTTTGTTAATTTATTTTCCCAAATAGATACATACATGCTTTATTTAATTTTTAGCAAAAATTTATATTTATGATTTATATTTATTTGGACGAAGCATGA